GACAGGGTGTCATGCTGTCACCCAGGTTGGAGTGTAGTGGCACAATCTCAGATCACTGCATCCCCCACTCCCCAAGCTCAAGTGATCCCACCGCCTCAGTCTCCTGAGTAGCTGGGTTTACAGGCTCCTACCACCTCTCCTGGCCAATTTTTATTTTTTGTAGAGATGGGGTCTCACCATGTTGCCTAAGCTGATCTCAAAGTGCTGGGCTCCGTTGATCCCCCGTCCTCTACCTCCCAAAGTGCTAGGATTACAGGCGTAAGCCACTGCCCCGGCCAACCCTACTGTTCTCAAATGAGATTTGCACCTTGGTAGATGGCAATTTGAAGCACAGGTTTCACGGCCTTCAGGCTCTTCAAAGTAAGGACCATACTGTGGTATCTTCTTGAGGAAGCTTGATCAAATCCAGCAAAGTGCGCTGCAGTTAACATTCATCTGCTCCAACTGGTGGAGTAAATGACAAAAGGCGACAGCTGCAGTACTTCCTTTATGTGGGTGCTTGTGTGTCTGTGTTTTTGTTGACAAGTTAGACACTAATCTCTCTAGTGAGCTGAACATTAAGCAGGTATAAGGAACCCTTATACCTATATTTTTCCAGAAGAAAAATAGCGGTATAAGGGTTCTAAAGAAATTAAGCCCTGGCTATTTATTTGTAATATGTTTCTGAGATCTAGTCATTCCTGTTGAAAGGGAATGTTTTAACATTTACTCCATTAATATTTGAGTACTGTTATATTCAGTCTGGTTATACAGATTGTGCATACAGGTTCACTTATCACTTCCTGAGTTGTCCCCAGTGAACCAGATTTGCCTGCCTAGAGGCAATGGTCTGGGATACACTGAATTTATTCAGAGGATTTTGGTTTGTTTGCTTTAATAGCTCTTGTTAGCAAAACCTAAAACTTGACCATTATCCAAATCCACTGCCAGAATATAGCTGCAACAGCTCCAATCTAGTGATCAAATAGAAAAAGTCTCTGTGCATGCTCTTTAGTGGAAAAAAGAAAAATAAAGAAAAAGGTTTTGATTCCCAATGAACTTGATTTATATAAATTTGCATGTACATCATGATCTTTGCTTGTGATTTGTAGAAGCAAAACTGAAATTAGGTGATATTACTTTTGGCAGTTGAATACATGCTATAAAAATAAAACTGAATTCAAATAAAGTGAAAATGCTAAAATGCTTGATATTTCGTCACAGCAGAGGTTCAAAACCATTGCATCTGCCGTGAGGTTTATCCCACTGCAAATAGTATTAATACTATTTGTGATATTGTTAAAAAACTAAAATAGATTTTCGTAGTTCAGGTTATTTCATTAACTGATGTTCCATGTGATATCTGTTCCACAAGAGCCAAACCAAAAATTATCTGTGCAGGAAGATGTTGTTACAGTCTCCACTAAGGATTAAAATACTCACCGTTTTAAAGTTTTATGGAGAGATCGGCATTTTACATAAAACCATTTTTCACCATAAATTAATTTTTCTTGTGCCTTGCTTTTTTAAAAACTTAAATATCCTCTGACTCTGAAAAATGTTTCTCAAAAATAATAAATAGGAATAATAAATTCATTTTGGGAAACTTTTCACAAAGGCTATCTCAGGATTTTCTCATTAAATCTTGCTTGGTAGCAATTATTGTCATTCATTGATGGGTCAGGACACTGAAGCCTGTGAAATTAAGTCTTTTGATTCAGATACCGTATCAATACAAAACTCATGATTTGAGCTCAGGACTAGTTTCCCAGGACATTGTTCTTTGTATTAGTTTTGTATAACAAGTATTGATTGTAATAAAGCAACCACTGAAAGTCCCCAGAAAAGGTTCCTTAAAAATGGTTTTATTGCTTCTGCCAAAGTATTGTGTCATAGTCCAACGCGGAGATGTGTGCTCTGTTTGCTTACCCTGCACTGGTACAGCAGCAGCTTTGCTTAGCACAGTTCTGAAGCCCTCACTTTCTTTCTTTTTTTTATTTTTTTTTTTATTTTAAACAAGGTCTTACTCTGCCGCCCAGTCTGGAATGCAGTAATATAATCTTGGTACCCTCTCTTAGAAGTGGAAACAGGTGCCCTGTCTCTTCTCCTATATCCACTGTCCCCTCATCCAGTGTCCTCCTCCTCACCCAGATACTGCCACATCTAATGAGTTTACAATTATTTTTAAATTTCTTTCCATGAGATGGTATCTGCATACCAGCTGGGGCTAGAATGTAATCCGTCCTGCAGAAGTTAAACCATGGATTATGTGAAGAGCAGGAGGTGGTAAGTCAGGCACATTTGATGGAAAACTTCTTGGAAATGTCAACCTCAGTATCACATTTCCATCTAACTTCAGATTTCAGAGTGCGTGATGTTTGTGCTAGAGCCAGTCATTGGAGTAAGTTCAAGTTTGGAGAAAATTTTCTTCCAAATTAATAAGAAAGAAGGAAGAAAGAGAGAGGAAGAAAGGAAGGTGGAAGGAAGGAAAGAAAAAGAAAAGGGGGAAGAAAAAGGAAAAAGAAAAGAAAAAGGGGTAAGGCTTTTTGTACATGCATGAGTTCCTACTCTTAGGAAAAAAAAAAATCATTTAACTAAATTCATTTAGCCAAAGAAGATAATTTTTCTTAGAGAATCAATAAATGTTATCTAGCCAGTGGCCTCACTTCTTCAAATTCATATTAGGTTATTAATAGGGGAATAATGATGTGATCAAACAATTAGACAAAAATATAGTATATTCAGGTTGAAGAACAACAAAATTGCACCTTGAATGGCTGTACCATATGGCTGCAGGAGTAACTGGAGTCCACGGTTTAGGTTTTGTCCCTGGTTAGGAAGGAACATTAGGTAGACCTGCTCCCCTAGCATTCTCATCTCAGTAGGCACCACCACCAGCTTCTCAGGTCCAAGCCTGAAACCCATCTGTGCTTTACTTTCTTCTCTTTACACCAACAAAGGGAAGAAAGAGAAAGAAATCTCTTCCTGACCAGAAGGCAGGTTCACCCTTCTTCACTGCATGTCTATGTCAGACACTCATTAGGTTTTGACAGCATTATAGCAACGTCAGCTTGATTCTTCCTTTCTAATCCTGCTAGGGTGATCTTCCCAAAACACAAGCACCTTCAATTCCCTTTGCCTAAGAAGTTTAAACTCCCTGGATGCCCTGCCCTTGCCTCTTTATAAAATTCGAACCCAGCCTACAGGGACTTTAATGAGTAAACCCCTATTTAACTCTCTCGTCCCCACTGTTCTTTCCTTTGCCACTGGAAATCCATCTACTTTTTGGATAAAATGACATGCAGTTCCAGAAAGAGCACATTCCCTGTGATGCCATGTCTATGCACGGGCAGCTCCCTTTGCAGGCTCATCCCCCACTGCTGTTTCACCTGGCTGGCTTGGCATAGGCCACATTCCTTTCAAGAAGTCTTGCCTGCCGCAGCCTGTTTTGAGTATCTGTTTTTAGTACCCCCAGTCTGTTTTAAGGATCTCTTGGAGGCTACACCCATCTGATACTGACCCTCTCTTAACATGCTGCCAATGACGTTGTCTATTTTCCTGTCTCCACCCTCAATTTTGAAATCCTTCCCAGCAGGCACCTAACACATTCCTGGCACAGAAGAGGTGTTCAGTACAGTAAATCCTTGCGAAATGATTTAAAGAATTAACAAACTAATAATCAACATGGTAACCAAAAGAAATGAAGGGGCGACATGAACGGGAAGTTTGGAGTGGGCAGTACTGGCAGTGAGAAAGTTGTTTCTTTGTAGTGTTAACTGAATTGGGTCAAATGGAAAAAAATCCAGAACTGAGTTCTAATCTAACTTTAACACTAACTGTCTGCCTCTGGGCAAGTCATGTAACCTCTCTCGACCTGAGCTGACTTCTTCTTTCTTCTTTCTTCTTTCTCTCTTTCTTTCTCTTTCTTTTCTTTCTTTCTTTCTTTCTTTCTTTCTTTCTTTCTTTCTTTCTTTCTTTCTTCCTTTCTTTCTTTCTTTCTTTCTTTCTTTCTTTCTTTCTTTTTCTTTCTTTCTTTCTTTTCTTTCTTTTTCTTTCTTTCTTTTCTTTTTTCTTTATCTTTTCTTTCTTTCTCTTTCTTTCTTTCTTTTTTTCTTTCTTTCTCTTTCTTTCTTTCTTTTTTTTTCTTTCTTTCTCTTTCTTTCTTCTGTCTTTCTTTCTCTTTCTCTTTCTCACTCTCTCTCCCTCCCGCCCCACTTCCTTCCTTCCTTCCATGGAGTCTGACATGCAATGACACAATCTTGGCACGCTACAACCTCTGCCTCCTAGGTTCAAGCAATTTGCCTGCCTCAGCCTCCTGAGTAGCTGGGATTACAGACACCTGACACCACGCCCAGCTAATTTTTTTGTATTCTTAGCAGATACAGGAGTTTCACCATGTTGCCTAGGCTGGTCTCGAACTCCCGACCTCAGGTGATCCACCTGCCTCAGCCTGCTAAAGTGCTAGGATTACAGGCATGAGCCACTGCACCCAGCCTGACTTCATGTAATATGAACTCCCCCATAGGTTTTCTGTAAGGGTAAATGAAATATAGTACATATGGTGTCTATAATATTTTTCTAGAACATATTAAGAATATAACAAGAGTTTAATAATTAAGTCTAATAAATATTAACTTCAGCCCCTTACAGTTTAATATTA